TTATCTCTCAAGATATGTATAATCATTGCGCTCAATATATGTTTTATTATTTTTAAACAAAATGATTGACATACCTCCTCCAATATTTTGCAACACAGAAAAGAATGCGATTTAAGAAAGAAGGCAGTTTTTACAATGTTTCGACATCATCTCTCTCTTTTTCAAGATATGTTTAAATATTGCGGGCAAGTAAAAATATATTTTATAAAATATATACGTCTTTGTACAAAAACGTTTTTTGTGGGGAAAAAAGTTTTTCAAACATAACGGACGTACTGTTGAAATATTATATTTTCCTGCTTTTTTTTTTTTTTTAAATGGCGCTCTTTTCTAACTGTTATTATTTATTTATTATTATTATGATTATTATTGTCGTAATTATTACTATTATTATCATTATGTTCCGAAAGACTTTATTTTCAATAAGAGTTCTTGAATTATTTGTGTCTCTTTCAATTCGTGTGACCTTAGTCAGCAAAATTTGCTGAATGATTTCAATTATGCAAGTTACTCGCTAATTCAATTTACTGTGCTTGCTTTCAAGATGTCCTGTGAGTGTCAAATTATGGAAGCTCTCTTTCTTCATGATGTTCCGTAGGAATTACAAATGTCTCTTTCTAATGCTAGGCAAAAGTGTCCTTTTTGTTTCAAATCTTTCTAAAACTTCGTCGTTGCTCACATGCTCAGTCCATGGACTTGTTGGCCTCCTTCTGTAGAACCAAATATCTCTTGCTTCAAGTCTCTTCTTCATCTGTGAGAAGATTATCCAGAATGCACTGCCATAGAGGAGGACTGATAATTCTATCTGATTTGACTTATACCCTCTTCTCGTCCCTTTTATGGAATCTTCCTTGTACTCTATCATGGAAATCACTAAAATGTCCATGTTGAATCTTCAAGCATTTTTCGTTCAGTTTTCCATTTTTTGAGTGGAAGAGCAGTTACATTAATTATGCAACAATTCAAGAATTGAAGAAGCCAACGACTAAAATCGACTCTCTTTTCTAAATAATGCAGTCAGTTGAAATTTCAAAGTTCGTGAAATTTTACACTTTCTTCCCTTCTTTATCATAGTTTTCTTTGTAATTCTAATAACCGTCTGTTTGAGACAATTGTAGTCGTTTGGACAATTATTTAGGAATAAATTTCTCACACGATACTATACCGGGAGAGACATGTCATGGAATAATTGTCCTTCCCACAAAATGCTTAATATCTAAAAATCCACTTAGCTAATTGAGCTTCTTTTTTCCACAATTTCAGATAAGATGTCTAGTCATTTTGACACCATTTGTATTAAGAATCGCAGGAAAACCCTTTGATTTATTCAGCTAGAAAGAGAACAGGTTTAAATTCTTTTATGTCAGCCGTACTCTATTTTCCAAACTGAGCAATGGTGAGAGAAATAGATCATTCAAGCCTTTATTAATAGTATCAACATTCCATCTTTATATTTCATTCAAAAATCATCAAGAGAACGATGTATAATTTTATAAAAAGAGGGAAGACCCGAAAGGAAATCTGAATCAGGAGCTCACAAAGAGCAGAGGGATCAATATATCATCTTGGCGCTAAATACATTCTTATTTTTCAAAGTAGAGGCCAATAGGTTTATAGAAACCTTGGAGAATTTGATGATGATATCTTTAATCATTTCTAAGCTAAAACGATTCACATTTTAGCCTAACAATTGGACAAGTTTGCTGTTACACCAGGTATATTGTTATGATTAATTTGTGACCTAGTGTTTTTTGTCTGCACTTCCAACGAAGTCAAATTTCGATAGAAACCTTTACAAAAACCTAAATCATAAGATTAGCATGGTTTTGTCTACATCCTGATGCAGGACTTTGCATGGGATTTTCTCTACCTGCCTTCAAAGACATCATTCGAAATATATATTTTTGTTTTATCTGGAATTGAACAGTCGGCTTGCTTCCATGACGAGCAGAATGACAAGATTAACCACGAAGCAGACTGGAAGGAATTGTATATAATGAATTAAACATCTAAAAGATTTCTACTTGAAAACATAAAAAAAAAATCAAAGAATATAAACAAAAAATTCGTGACTGGCTTGAAACTACATAAAGAAACGGGGAAAAATATTCTATGCTCATTTTATATTCAAGCGTATTCATCAAATTGGGAGAGAAAAAAGCGTTCATCTCAATGTGTTATTTTAATTTTGTTTCAAAATTGGACGCTGCTTTATCGGATTTTCTTTAAAGGAAAGAAAATCGTCTGTAAAATGAAGTTTCTTAAAGCAGATGTGTTGAACGGTTTTTTATCGTTCATTCTATTACCACCGACAAAAGAGCAGCAGTCGCACATCCGCAAAATAAAATATTAAAAAAAAAACAAATTATATAAAAGCCTGCTGGAGAAAAATAAATCTAAATTTAATGATAAACAATTTTTTTTACTATTAATAAAAATCTTCTATAAACAAGATTGTGACATCGCATTATTGCACCCACCTTTCTACATTTTGTTTCATAAAAATGACAATTTTTAAACTCACCGTTTCTACTGCAACTACATTTATAAAATTTCTGTTATTATTCCTTTTAGAGGCTATGTCGTCTGTAAAAAAATTAGGGATTAATTCATCTTGCTGGGGGGTCTTTCCGTAGAGATGTAGAAGCGACTTAGCTACTTCCGAGAGGCCACAACTATTATAGAACATGGTCACGAGTTGCCCATATATACTGACCTTGTGCCAGAGTTAGTTATATAAAAGAAATGGTAATTTTCTAAATGTATCTTAGATATGGCACAAGGCTAAAATATTGGGGAACAGTGAGGATCGAATTCAAATTTCAGCCAAATTTGATTTAGAGAGACAAGGTTGCTAACCATTACACCATTTGCAGTGCCCTAGTAATTTTTGGAAAAGTTCGGGCCACCAAATGTCGATCGAACTCGTTACTCAATCGTAATTGATTTAGCGAGACAATACCGCAGTACCCGAGGTACGTTTAGTATATGTCTAATTGATCTTATTTTTGACTGAGTATTTTAATAACTGATATTATTGTTTGTATTATGATATTCACCCCACAGTTTGTGAAAATATATCCACTTTGCATAATACAATAAAGAGAAAGTTCTGAAACCAACTGCGAAATCTTTGAATTAAAAAAAAAAAAAATGGAAAGTAAGTCTACTTAGTCCATTTAAGAAATGTCGTTCTCATTTTCACGTTTCACATTTCACATCTTCACTTGAAGGACCTCTGCAAAAGACACATGAGGAGGGTGGAAAAGGATATTTAAAGGAGGGAAGAGCTCTCCAATGATTGTTCACGATGGAGATGCGATTTACAGTGAGGGCCGGTGGGAGTATATGAGGAACGTCGTCTTACCGCCGGGAAGAAGTATCCTGCATTGAAGGAAAAGATGGCTACATCGGAGTTGCAGTCGGGACTATCACTCACCTTTGGTCATTTTACAACCACGGAAGATGCTGCACCGCCAACAGCAGCTTGGATATAACTCTTTGGGCGCAGATCCAAGGTTTCTCAAGATCGACGGATGCCACACAATTTTCTCCCGGGTACTGCGAGAAACATCTGAGAAACGCAAACGATATTCAACTTATGGTAAAAACGTCAATATAGTTTGCGTTTCTCAGACGATATTCACTTTATGATAGGCAGTAACACTGACCTTCAGGATCTGAACCCCCCACCCGCCGCCAAAAAAAAAACACGTTGAAAGAACAAACGCATTTGGAAATACAAATTAATGATGAATATTACATGCAGCACCAGGACCAGTGTCACCATAGACAGTCACCAAAGTTGAACGCCTGACTGTTAATAAATATTTCGTGCACCAAACTCAAGAAGGGATTATCATTACAATGAGATTGATTATACCTATGTGCACTTTATTTGTGGCCTCATACCAGACTAAATTGAGCTTAGCAAATAAGTTACAGCTTATGTTTTAGCGATGGCTGGTATATTTTTGTCTGTGTTTAAAATATCGTCATTGTTCATGTATATGTTCATGTATGTTTCCTAATTCTTTCACACCCAGTAACCCATTGTGTCTTAGTTCATTTACTTCCTTGCTTACATTCGAGTAAAAATATACATTTTCACGTCGAAATAATTTGAACATTGCATACCGAGGCAACTTTACATAACTGCTTAGCATCCGTCACTGATATTTCGTAATAATCCATCGCTTGACAATTATCATTTGCTGCCATAATACAATTAATTTTGCAAGCGTTAATGAGGAAAAATCATGGTTTAAATGATTTGCAATGTTTGATCAAAAATTGTATAAACAATTATTATTTGTTAGTCTTGATCATGTGCAATAAATATAATTTCAAAAGAGATTTTTAATTTATCATATTCACTATAAAGTCAGTCGGCATGTCTCCATATACAACCTATCACTTCCTACATTTCTTCGTTTACGAACTACCGATGCAGTCTTCTTTAGATAACGTAGTCTGTCTGAATACCGATATCGACAAAATAATTATCGCGCCTGCTGTATATTTTGGTGTCTGCTTGGTTGCCAGGGAGGTTATAACGCAATTTACAATTTCAGCAGGGTCGCTCGTTTAAGGAGGGCCTTGAAAATATCAACATATTGAGACATTCAAACACAGCTGGAAAGTGTCTGAAAAACTTTCTAATGGTCGCCTCAAGAGTCGAATTTCAAATCTGGTTGCGGCTGTCGATGGTGTCATGAACAAGAATTCGCAAAACAATTTGGCTGAACTTACTACATTTTTCTACTAATTTTTCCGATATATTCAACTATATTCTGCTTAACAGAGTCGCATCTTAGGCTACAAAACGATTCATACACAAATATATTCATGTATTTAACAGAGTTAACAGGATATCCTAGGACAGGTATATTGGGAAATGATTCAACCATTATATATATATATATATATATATATATATATATATATATATATATTTATTTTATATTTATATATATATATATATATATATATATATATAT